ACAAAAAAACTGGACTACTGCAGTGGCCGAGTCTAAGTCTACACAAGGACGTGACTGCTTGTTTTGGGATTTTACGAAATTTAAAAAACCAAGGTTTCCTCTGGATGCTAGGTTGGACGGAAGCGTAGTAAGCTCCTTTACGCTGTGAGGTACTTTTCCATATTGAAGACCACGTGTCATAGAGCTTTCGCTTTGTGTCGGCTCGGATATCATAGCCGGGTATAACAAAATGATGGCGTTCCACATCACCTGACGTAGCAAACTTAGCCAACGCATCAGCACATTCATTTCCGCGTATGCCAGAGTGGCCAGGGATCCAAACTATTTCGATATTAAGCCCTTCATTATGACAGCACCAAAGGAGGTGTTTAATATCTACAACTAGCTGGCTATGGATTTTGGTGTGTAACTGATTTTGACCTAAAGATTGAATACTACTACGGGAATCTGAAAAAATTACAGAATTTTTAATATTATGACTTCTAATAAATTTCACAGCTTCCAAGATTGCAACGCATTCTCCCGTGAAAACTGAAGCCTCTGGCGGACACTTAAAAAGCATAGTTATTCTGGAGTTCTGAAAATATGTTGCCACCCCTGTACAACCCTCTTGAGTCAACTTTGACGCATCAGTGTAGAACACATTCCAGCCCTTCCAATACACTTCCAGTGCCCGCTCAAAGTTTCCAACAATGTTTGCCGAAGATTTTGAAAGACCTAACCCCAGAACAAGTTTCGGTTTAAAATGGATGGCTTCGTATGCAGAAGAGAATACAGGGAGAATTGGGAATTGACTGACAGAGGCCGAAAGATTTTTAAGCTCTCTGTATCTGACAATCACTGGGGGTATAGGTTTGTGGAGCCAGTATGGAGAGGAATCATAGGAGAGGAGAATTTGATCCAAAATGGGAAGTAGAGGATGGGATGATCGGGAGAGGACTTTTGATATGAAACGATCTGCGAGGTACTGCCGACGAAGATCAAGAGGTGGTTCAGCACATTCCACTTGTAGGGCATTTACGGGTGATGATTTCATTGCTCCAATAATAGTCCTAAGGCATTTGGCTTGGATATAATCTAGCTTTCGCAGTGCTCCCTTGTTACAAGGTATAATCAGGAAACAGCAGTAATCCAACACACTCCTAACCAAAGCGTTATAGACTAACTTTAAAGTGTATGGGTGTGCACCCCACCATACCCCGGCTAAAGCTTGGAGGATACATACGGTGCGTTCAATTTTTTTAGTTACCGAATCAATGTGATCCACACCTGACATCTTGGAATCGAGGGTAACTCCTAGAAATTTGGCCTTCGCCTTAATGGGAATAATCTGACCGTTAATACTTATATTTAGATCTGGGGTACGACGTCTACGTGTAAACACAACAGCAGAGCTCTTTGGAGCACTCAAAGATAGTCCATGATCAAGTAGCCATTGGTTTAATGAAGCCAAAGAGACATTCACAGAGAAAGTGGCATCGACTATAGAATGACTAGTGACCATCAGTGCAATATCGTCAGCATACTGGAGAGATTTACAATCAAAGTTTAGGCAGGAAGGGAGATCAAAGGTATATATGTTGTATAGGATAGGACTGAGAACTGATCCCTGAGGTAAGCCCCTCCAGGCAATTCGCCGTGCAGGGCTCTCCTCAGGAGTTCTTAATTGAAGGGTGCGATTGGTAAGAAGGCAGCAAATAATTCGTATAATCCCACTCGGAATTTTCAGCTTTTGCATTTTCCGCCTGAGAAGGGGTAGAAGTACAGAATCATATGCTGAAGAGATATCCAGGAAGACTGCCACCAACGACTCATCCCTGCAAAGAGCCAGCCGGATCGCTGAAGTGAGGGTACCCACACTATCAACGGTGCCTAAACCTTTTCTGAAACCGAACTGAGTCGCCGGAAGCATCTCCCGGCTCTCTACCAACCACTCTAGACGGTTCTTTATTAAATGTTCAAAGATTTTGAGGAGTATGGACGACAATGCAATCGGTCTATAAGACAAGTGATCTCTAGAGTCTTTGCCAGGTTTTAATAGAGGCATAATAACCTGAACCTTCCATGCTGTGGGAATGTAACCGGAAGTGAAACAAAAATTGGCCAAGGTAAGGTAGTACCACCGTGTTTTAGCCCCGCTTTTCGTTATAAATGAGTACGGGAAACCATCTATACCGGGAGCAGAGTCCTTGACGTGGTTCAGAACTGTTTCAAGTTCTTCCATAGAGAATGTTACGTCAAGAGGATCACAAGAACATAACAAGTCCCCTATTTCGCACTCTTCCTCTTCAGGGACATATGAGGGAGCAACGTTTGAGAAAAAACTATGGTACAGATCTTCTGATAGCATGGAAACAGAAGGTGGTCTTGTGCAGTTTCTGAAACTCTTGACTTTTCGCCAGACAGTTGTTACTGGAGTCGATGGACTCAAAGCATTACAAAAATTCCGCCAGCCTTGCTTTTTCTTTTTTTTCAATAATTTCCTTGACCTTGCCAATGCTTGTTTGAAAGATATGAGATTGCCCAGGCTCATGTCACGGTTATACGTCTTTTCAGCTTCATTCCTGGCCTTAATTACGGCAGTGCAATCACTATCCCACCACGGCGGGAGGGCAATTTTACCTTTCGGTGGAATTTTAGTCGGGAAGCAATCTGCAGCAGTGGTAGATATTATTTCCGAGAAGCCAGAGAAACACTCTGATGCGTTCTCAGCATGAATAGGTGGAAGGGAAGAGATACGGAAATCCAGTAGTCTGGAATAAAGATCCCAGTCTGCTGATTCTAAGCGATATTTTAACAATGGAGGAAGGGATTTATCAAGCGTGGGATTGGAGTGGTTTGTGACTATGATGGGATAGTGGTCACTACCATAGGACATATCCAAGCGCCTCCAGTCCGTCATGCTAGCTATGTTGGGAGAACAAAAGGTCAAGTCGACACAGCTGTTCCTTTGACCGAATGCAGACCTACGTGTAGCACTGCCATCATTAATGATACATAGATTAAGCTCGTCTATGATCTCTAATAATTCTGTGCCTATACTGTCACACATGTCTGAACCCCATCTATAATGATGACAATTAAAATCACCCATTACTAGTAATGGGCCACTAACAGTATTTAGAAAATGTTTAATTGACTGTAAATGACTAATGTGTGGGCGTGCAATATAAAAAGCAAAAATGTTTATATCCTTAGCCTTAACAGCAACAGCATTAATGTCGTCACTAACAAAGGGTAAAGATATAATAGAGTACTGTACTTTGCTATTAATAAACAAAGCACAGCCTCCATAACCATCTGGTCTATCATACCTGACACTGTTAAAACCCGGCACCCGGAAATTAAAATCCGGTCTAAGCCACGTCTCAGCAATGCCACATACCAGAGGTTTGTATCTATTTATTAAATGGACTAGGTCAGTTTTCTTCGGAAGAATACTCCTCGCGTTCCATTGAAGGAATGTTAGGGGATGGAATGTTACCAAGATATTGTAGGATGTTGGTCAGTTTGTCGGCAACGTGGTCAGGTATGTTATGTGAAGGATTTTCTAATACTGCCATAAGCATATTAGTGATAATGTTTAAAATATTTCTAGGATTATGGTTGTTTTCACCCTCCAAAGGATAGGCGCAACCATTTTGTGATGGGGAAAAGGAATAATTGTTGATAAGGGCTCGATGAGCTTGCTTATCGTAACTAGGAGACAGCGGGGCATGAGATTTAGGTTTTAAAAAGACAGTTTTACGTAAAGATTTGGGAGTTTGGGAAGTATTATAGTTCTGTTGAGGCAGTTTGGGTTTAGGCTGATTAAAAGATTTTGAAACCTCTGCATATGACCTCTTGATGGTGGGAAAGACCTGACTCGCTTCTGCATACGAAATCGATTTTTCCGCCATGAGAGCCTTTATGCTCTTCTGACGGCCTAGCTCAGGGCATACATTGCTACTGGCAAAGTGATTACCATGACAGTTTACACAGGTTGCAATCTCCTCTGAAACCAGGCATCCATCACCAGGATGGTCCTGGCCACATCTGAAGCAACGAGGCTTTGAGCGGCATAAGGTACGTGTGTGCCCAAAGCGGCAGCAGTTAAAACATTGTATTGTGGGATATGTGTACCTTTCTACTGTAAGAGCAGTGTAAAAACAGTAAACTCGTTTTGGCAAAATTTGCCCATCAAATGTGAGAACCACCGTTTGTGTAGGTTTCCACTCTGAACCATCAGAAGAAACCACTTTCCGATTCATTCTCCTCGCCTTGATAACATTGCCACATCCAGAAGGGACCCTGATATTTTCGACAATTTCCTCCTCAGTCCAGTCCACAGGGACATCTCTCACAATACCCATACGTGTGATGTTAAACAGTGGAATGGATGTTATGTAATTTTGTTGGGCTACGACTCCATTAATTAAAAAGCTGTTAGCATCTTGGTGTGACTTAAATTCCACTGAAATTTTGTTTCGTCCTAATCTTTTGACACCATCCATCCGTACATTTTTTATGTTGTTCTTCATCAAGAACATGCCAAATTTCACAGGGTGTAGGGTTGTGCCTGAGGTTTGAGAATCTCTCAAAGAAACATGAACAATATACGGAGGAGCGTCATTGGGTGTATAGCACTGTCTACCGTTAACTTTTGCCACTTTGGGTGGGTTATTTATAGTAACTGGTGGAGAATGTGCAGGTCTTTTCCTATTTAAACTATTATCAGCATCATCGGTGCTGGGGACGGTGATAGTCATTAGAGGGGTGTACTCAAACATATTATCTGGAGGGTCGGGAGGTTTTTTAGTATCCATATTAAAAAGTGCAGATGCACCGAAAAAAATATATAATTAAAGAAAAAGAGTATTAGGGAATATTTTGCCCACGTTACCAATAGTTTTTTAGTGTATCACAACACTAGGATGGCTTCGACTCAGATTTGAAAAAAAATATTTAATTTGAAAAAAAAAAACACAAACACGTATGTCTTTCACCACTGCCAAGATAAAATTATTAAATCTTCAATTTTTCTATAATACGAAACGAATAAATGCAATCCGCCATTTTTTTTCTCCTTCACGCAACCCAAAATATCATTTTTCTTCGTAAAACATTGTTCTATAATCAGTTCAGAACGTTATATAAAACTGCAGTGACATATAGTGCACCAGTCACATTTGATCAGTTTAAAAACCAAAAAAAGTTTAGTGATGTACAATCTGAAGTGATGCGATCTTTGATGGACAGTCCGCGGCTAAAGGAACAGTTGCCTGATGTGAAAAATTGGATATCAAGGGTGAGTGAACCACTGGATTAAGTGTTTTATGTCATCGGGCGGAAACCGCGCAGACGAATCACCTGATTGTGAGCAATGGGTGCCACTCATAGATATCCGTAATACTATAGGAGGTACCTACCTACAAGTGCGTTGCCAGGCATGCAAATCGGTGAAAAGTGGGCGTCATATGGTACCTCTTACGCCTTTGGGGCTTAAAGTACTATACATCCACAAACTACTAATCCCTAAAAGGCCGGTAATGCAATTGTAACGCCTCTGGTATTTCAGGTGTCCATGGGCAGTGCCGATTGCTTACCATCAGGTGATCCGCCTGCTCGTTTTTTTATCCCTTAAAATATGTTGAAGTAGTGCTGTGGAAACTAGCATCCCGATCGAATAAAAGTTGAACAAATAAGATAAAAAAAATAATATTATTTTGTCTATTTATTTCTACTTGGCCTGTATTGTTACAGTTACTAGATTACACACTGGAAGGTGGCAAACGGAGTAGAGGTTTGGTAGTACCATTTGCATATGAAATGTTGGAAGATCCAAAACACTTCACAGAAGAAAACCTCCACAGAGCGCGGATTTTGGGGTGGGTTGTGGAAATAGTGAGTACATGTATGAATCGAAACGGCACGTTGTCCTAGACCCGGTCACTCAATGCCCGATTGCGGCAACCGTGCAGTCAATTTTAAGGAGTTCTGCTAGTTTGTCTAAGGATTTTTTTTTTTACAGATAGAATCATACGTCCTCATGGTAGATGATATCGTGGATTCATCACAAACTCGCAGAGGCAAGGAGTGTTGGCACATACATAGCGGTGTTGGATTGGGAGCAGTCAATGACTGTGGGCTCCTACTTGCCTGTGCCTTCGAATTATTGGAACTCTATTTCGGAAAGGAAAAAAAATATGGTGATTTAGTCAAAATTACCAATGGGGTATGTCGTTAACGGTTTACCAATGGAGTAAAATTATTAGATAATACATTCAAATTTGGACTCCAATTTCTATCTCTTAGGCCCGTTTTTCCAAAGTCATATAAATTTTATTTATTAGAGGAGTAACTTGAATATTTCAGAATTGTTCCATTACTAAAAACTGTTTATTGAAAGAAATGGGCCTTAGAAAAATTAAGATTTGATTTATACTCGGAATTTTAATTCGAATCCAGATTTGACAATTTCAGTGTTGCAACGTTATGACAAGTACTAAATAGTGACGTTGCGAAATTATTCGATATGGGAATGGAATATTTCCGGATCGATTCTTCTCGTTTATAATTTTAGTCTCGTAAACTAAGTATATCAGGAAATTAAATATTTCTGACCGATAATTTAGTTTTGACGATTAATTAACGATCTGAGACTTTTCTTTTATAATTGTGTGTGCAATAAATAAAAAAATGTTATCATGAAGGAACATGACAAATAAAACAGATAGATGTATTTTGGTTATAATTTATTTTATAAATTGTCGCCGTCATCGCTATCGCTATCACTGTCACTTTCTGTAACATTTATTATAAAACACACACACTGATTGTTTATCGATTTTTGTGTTCATCACTACACTATTAGATGTGGTATCATTATTTCACAAAATGACAGTAGCTAATGTCAAATCTGGAATCGAATTAAAATTCTGACTGTAGATAACCCATATGTTATACAAATTTTCATTATTTTCAGACAGTATTCCAGATATGTATAGGCCAGCACATAGACTGCTTATATGGATACAGTAAAGAGAAGAACAACTTTGACAAATTGACTAAGGAACACTTTGATAACTTTACTCTTTTAAAAGCTGCAGTCTATTCGTTTAAATTGCCGATGCTGTTAGCTCTGACTTTAGTAAAGGACAGGAGCACAACATTTTCAGAAGAAGCGTATAACATAGATTGGAATATAGGCAGACTTCTGCAGTTACAGGTAAAAAGTTTGTAATATTAGCACTTATTAGCTAGATTTACATATTTTTGACCCTGCGCAATGATTGTTATAAGGTATGGAGGGCAACAACAATCATTCATGTTTTCAACTATTTTATCAATCGTTTATTTTTTTTTTAGAATGACTACAAAGATATCTTCGTCGACGATATCAAAACAGGGAAGGTAGGCACAGACATTCAAGAAGGTAAATTAACCTGGTTTGCTGTAACAGCGCTGCAGCGCTGCACCGAAGGACAACGTGCCATCTTCAAAGAAAACTACGGCAGTAAAAACCCTGAACATGTAAAGCGTATCAAGCAGCTTTTTGATGAATTAGAAATGGAAAAATTGTATAAAGTGTATGAACGTTCGGTTTATGAAGATTTAGTTCGTAGAATTCGTAGCTTGCCGACTAGAGTGGAGTCACAGTTCCTTGCGCAAATTTTAAAAGGGTGCTACAAACATTTCTGCTGATTGATGCAGAGGGCTTCTTCATTAGGGTGCCAAGGTCGTAAGTACCAGGGTCGGTCGCACCTATTAGGTCGCGTAAATAAGTTGTTAGGGCCTTATGTTGAGATGAAATATTGTTTATCGATACTTGGAACATTAGTAGGTACTTAATCTTACCTATTTCGATTGAGATTGTAGATTTTAAGTGAATCAAAATGGTTTATTTACATTAGCATTACTAATTAGGTAAAATGGTAGAAAATTAAGACACAATTTAGATATTTAAATTATTATTTATTTATACAATTCCCGTGTACTTAGAATCAAATATAAATGACTACATGCAATAAATATATGTACTTATTTTTCCCTTGATATATTCATAAAGGAATGTTATTAATATTTTTTAAATATAAAGTACCGTAATTAATTAGTTAAAAAGAAAACATAGGGCGCCATCTATTTCTGACGCGTGTCAACTAAGTTTAAATGTGTTTTTTATTACCTACTCGACATCGAAAAGCAAAGAATATGTGTCAAATACCTAGTTGCTACCTCTATGAAAATACCAAGGGCCTTATAATTCTCTAACATAAAATTATTCATTTAATTGTAACGTAATGTAAATCATACCTAGAATATGGTAAACATTAAGAACCAAAATAACATTAATTATATTCTTATTTATAAACTTAAACAAATATTTATTTATTGAAACTTGTATAAAAATACGAAATAACTTTTCTCATTATATTGGTTATATTTCAGTTGTAGAACATAACATAAGGTATGTGTTATACCTTCAAAATGTAAATAGAGTTTTATATTATAATAATAATTATATTTTGTTTTGTAGCATTATTGAGAATTGAAATAGTCGAAATACCCAAAAATACTTTTACGAACCACTCGACAAAAGAGATATTTTATGAGAGACTAACCCGCGAACCTGCTAGGACAATTCTGTGACTGTCAATCAATTCGAAAAAATCAAAATGAACTTGATCGCGGGCCATGTTGTTGTTCAGAACAGAATCTTGACCAATGAGGGGCGAGTATGCGATCGAGTTCACTTCAAAAGTTTGAATTTAACAGTTATAGAATACCCTTACTGTTTATATGCCTTGGAGCTAAAGTAGCGTAAAACTTATTCAGTATTAACATAAGCGAGATTATAATTCGAGGATTTATTCAAATATATATCGGTCACAGCATAATAAATAAGAAAATTTGTCTTGTAAGATTTTTATACTGAATTTTTCGTAACTTTATATTTAATTATTGCTTTCTATTGACATTGAATCAGTAAACTATGAAATAATTTGGAAAGAGGTAGTTTGCACTGTAGATATTTCTTACCTTTGCCTTAAAAGGACTAGTAATAGCCTATTTAATTCCTTAAAGACTAAAGCACCATGAATGTTCTTAATATATTTAAATTTTCTTACGGTTTATAGGTTAAAATTCAAACTGTTATAATTTACATAGTTTTACAATAAAAATAATTTTAAAACAATATAAATCATTTTACAATTACACCAAAATTGAACATTAAACTGTATGATAGAGATATGGTTCTTACGCATATAATGTTTTTAAAAATATTTTGTAAAAGTTAAACATTCCAGAATCTTTAATTTGTTTGAAATATTGGCACATTACGATTTGGAAGAAATTTTATAGGCACTGAATATTTACATAATTATAATTTATCATTTCCTTTTGTGCTATTCAACGCCAACAACATTATTAAAATTGGTTTTGAGACAAAGTTATGCTGCGTTATAATATATTTAAATTTAAATAATGTGCGTGTAGTCATAGGTCATGATCGTTTAACTTTTTTATACGCACGTTGGCCTAGTGGCTGAGCGAAGGGTTGCTGTGCAACATGTCGCGGTTTCAACTCTCACACGGAACCATTTTTTGTGTTCCAGTAACGTTGTTCCGGGTCTGAGCGCGAAGTGCATGCGAACTTGTATGTTTGTAAACAAACCCAGTATCAAATTTTAGAATGGAGCAATTATCGCTCGACATCGCCGCGACCGCGCACACTGCTCATAATGAAGAACTCCACTGTAGTTCGAAATTAGTAGAGCTTTTCTCAATATTTTCACATGAGTAGGTAACAAGCGATTTTTCATTTGATCAACATAATGGTATTGGTATAGTAATGCATATCAAAATTTAAAAAATACCATCTTTTGAATAACTAATATATATATAACGATATTGCTCAATTTTAATCAACTAATTTAAATTATGGGATATTTTTTTACACAAATAAAATAGGTTTATTACATTATTGTCATGATATTAACCCGAAACAATTTAATATTAATTAAGAACACGAAACTTCTAGATATAAATATAAACTTATCTAATGTATGTTATGTTTTTGGTGCAAAGCAAACTTGATCCGAAACATTATGATATACACTTATTATTATTTAAAAAACAAATTGAGCACATGCATGGAAAAGTTGAGGAAAAGAAATATCATTTTTGGTATAAAAAACTCGTATTTCTTCTAACCTTCACGAAATAATCATATTTGTATTAAAAAGATCAAGTTTGTTTTACAAACACATTATAAAATATTAAATTCAGTCACAATCTGAATAACAATGAGAGTATGACGTCACTATAACTTCACACCACGTGACATCTTAACATTGACAGCTGTCAAACATAACTTTTTTATTGGCAGTGACTAGTACCAGCGATTATACTGCCATCTACAAAACTATTAATGTTTTCTTTTATAAATCCTATCTATGAGTTTATAGAAGAATACGGGGGCTGTTTCTGAAGGTAATGAACGTACTTTGTTCATTATATTATCATATACTAAGGTTTCTTCTTCACGGTATATTTCTGGTAGTCGAAGTTCGTCGTAGAGTCGTTTGATGATCGCGACGTGTTCTGGTTCCTTCCTGCCGTAGTACTGAGCGAACATCGCCCTCTGTGCTTCGTTGCAGTGCTTTAACGCTGTGACAGCTAGCCATGAGCACTTACCTTCTTGGATATCTGTCCCCGCCTTGCCTGTTATTGTCTCGTCACCGTAACAGTCGATATAGTCATCCTGGAAATAAATATAAGGAATTTTACACATCGGTAAATGAAATTTTTGCAAATTAAGAATATATTAATGGTAAATTTAGTAATTTAATGAACTTAGGTAGATACGTAAGATAGATTACCAAGTATCATACCGAATGCTGCACGCAACATTAGACTTTAGAACGATTATCACAGAATTGTATTTGCAATATATGGTAAGTCTAGTAGTAACTTCCTGCAATATTGAGTAGCATACGACATTTTACGCATATCTATTAAATGACATTTTAATTTTATATAGTATAAAAACTGTGTAAGTACCAATCCATTTGATACTTTCAGGCAATAATAAAATCGTCTCAGTTTTTACCTGCATTTGAAACAGATGGCCAAGCTTCATACAAATGTCGTTGACATCGGGGTATATAGCTTTGTCTACATCTTGGACTAGAGACAGCCCCAACAGTATGGGCAACCGGAACGTGTAGCAACTAGTCTTGTACTTCACAATAGACGCGTAACGGTCTACTGTGAAAAGACTGTAGTCTTTCTTGTGGTTCGCCGTTGTGTAGTCCAGGTGTTGGCCCATTGAGGTGTATGTTAGCGCCTGGAAAGAGAAGATATTTTAAAAAAGAAAAACGTTGAGCCACGGAAAATTATGCATGTGTTTGTGTTATGAATAAACAAATCAGTACGGTCGAGTCCCCTCATTTGTTACTAAAGCATTGCCTCTTCCACAAAATGAATTATGTGATTATTACCTGATATGTAATTCATTTTATGGGATAAGCCTGTAAACGAGCAGAAGGATTACCTAACGGTAAGCAATCCGCGCCGCCCATTGACATCCGAAACACCAGAGGCGTTACATGTGGCTTTTTGGGGCTTAGGAATTTGAGGATTATTGGAGATTCAGGGATGAGGGAGGTTGAGGAGGGAGGGAATTGGGCCTCCGGTAACCTCACTCCCATGACGAAACACAACGCAAGCAAACGTTGTTTCACGTCGGTTTTCTGTGGGGCCATGGTCACGCCGGTGAAGCCGGCCCATTCGTGTTGAAGCATGGCTGTCCCACACTTACAAATTAATAATATATTTTTTATTATTATTTATTCTTATTTTTCGCTAACGAAAAATTGTTGATTCATGTTCATCGTCCTTTTGGATTCCAACACGAGGCATAAGCGTTACATTACATTCTTTATTTATTATTCATTAATCATTGTTAATGAACAGTGATAAGATGGGAATGTTAAGGTGCTAGAGACGTAATAATGAGTCGTTGGTGATAAGACAATAGGTAAACAATGTTAATTCATTCATACCTAACTATTACAGTTTTATGGATGAGAATGGTTGTTGTTTTAGTTCTTTCATGAATTGACATAAATGTCAGAATACACCAATTCATTTTTGTTATCTTAAATAAATTGCTCGAAGTATAGTTTGCCTATTTAAGAATGACGACGAATGTTTGAGGTACTAACATTAAAACTATGGCAACATTAAATGAAAGTGCGTTGATCGACTTTGTTTTATATATTTGGAATTTAAGTGAATAAAAGTTTAAAGAACTTTATTAAAAATGCAAAAGAACAATTCGGAAAGGAGTTGGACTGATTGTGTTTCGAGTATAAAGTGATTTTGAGAAGCTGGACAAATTTTATCAAAAAGGTCGTATCAGAATATAATTTATCTGCCAGAAGTAAAAACCTACAAAATAAACGATTTTATGTGTAAAATAAGGATTTTTTACATTGTTAATTTATTTATAGGATAGTTTTGGATTTTATTTGGTTGGTACTTACGACCTGTGGCGCCCTCATTGATTTTCGTTAATAAATAGACATGCTGTACTTCCCTTTTACTTCATACTCCTAGAGCTCTCTTAATCACAATGGTAATATAAATATCTATATTTCGTACTCTAGTACCATTGAGGTTAGAGTCGATTTTTATTACAGAATTAGTCTATCTAGTTAATTCAATTAGTCTATGGGCGGCGCTGATCGCTTACCATCAAGTGATCCGTCTGCTCGTTTGCCTCCTATTCCATAAAAAAAATGGTTTTCTGCTCATTGCGGTCAGTAACTAATACAGTGAGTAAATAAAGACGTCATTATTTCTCTTTTGTTGTGCAGATGAAGCGTAACAGTAATAATTTAAGTTGAAGAAATAAATATTCAAGAAATAAAATGGTTTTACATAAGGTTACCTCTGTCAGGGTTAAATGGAAAACTCGAATGAGGTATATTATATTGTTAATACCTATTATAATAATAGGATATCGTATGAAGTACTTACCTCATTAAAAAGTTTAACAACATTAACGAAGTGAGGTGTCTTCCCGAGGTAAGTGTCCAATGTTTCCATAATAGAGCAGTAAATCAGTATGGAGTCGTTGATGGCGCCGAGCCCTACGTTCGGCATCCTGTACCAGCATGGCATGCCGCGCCGTGTCGTCGACCCGTCCATTATATCGTCCGCTACTATGAAGTACGCTTGAAGCTGTGGATGTAAAATAATGCTTTAAAAATTAAAGAGAAATGAAACAAGTTACCAGAGATGTAGGTAATATTATAATGGAGAAAATAGAAAAGCATGGGGAGGATTTTAGTTTTGTAGAATAGTATCCTAACCTATACCTAAGTCGCGGAGAACCTAACAGGTAACCGGGGCTCCGGCTCGACGTGCAGGAGAAGGAACGGGGTGGTTTTTAGTCAGTAAGAGTCTGACACTCCCTCCCGCCTCACCCAGGCGGGAGCAGTTATTCGATGATTTTAACCACTTAAAAAAAAACCTATATCTAAACACTTTAAAGATCGAAGATGGGAGTTAAACAAGAACATGTAATTGTGACCCTTAAGAAACGGAAAGATCTGACGAACAGAGAAAAAAAAAGAATTTTTGTGTTTCTCAGGGCCTATTTGACAAAGTACGATCAAGTTTCAGTTACTCTAGCGGATAGCTTGACATGTTTTCGTAACTAAAGTTAAGTAACTAAATCGCTATGAACAAACTAGAGGACCATTGTAACCTAATAATGTAGACATTTCTTGCTATACAAAGGCCTGGAATGCATAATTCCGATCCCTATCTGAATTAACAAGTCATGTATGGTAAGCCAAAGAACGTAGACTGCATTTAAACTACATGGGTATCGGATGTGGGTAACAAGGACAATATTGGATGAATGGAATGGAATATTGGATATGTATCAGAGACATTGTAAAACAGACTTAATTAAAAGAGTAATGAATGGAATTTCTTGCTCGTTCTTCTCCGTTCGAATCTACATTTTGGAATGAGCACCTAGCTTCACTGTCGGACAGAATGACAGATTATTATATATTTTGTATTTGTTGACGTTTCAAAAGTACCAAATTATGGTTTAAAATTGAAATAAATGGTTTGTCTTTGAATTACGCACTACTTCAAATGCCTGCAAGTATGATTGCCGACAAAAGGACTCTCCTCTAGAAAGTGTAAAATACAGACAGATAAAATTGCATATTTTAATAATCTCAGTAAAAACTCTAAAATATATGATTTACATTTCATTTATCTAAAGAAGTAAACTTATTATTTTCGAAAAGTTAAATAGCATACCAGCAAGTTCGCACTATCGCATGCATACTGCTTTATAATTCAATTTTATGGTATATTCTATACTTAGATATGGCGTCATGGTATGCAACTAAAATACATAGCTGTTGATAACGCATTGTAGGAGTAATTTTATTGAAATTGTATCTTTATATAAATGCATGTGGTGTTTACCTTTAAGTGATTGTTGTTACAATGCATACATGCAATAGATATATTCTTTAGTGTTCTAAAGAATATATCTATTGCATGTAACCTAATATTTGATATAGTGTGTACAATTGTTGGTAAACCATTAAATAACAAAAAAATGATTGCATTGATCTAATTATGCTTGTACTTATAATAATAATGTTGCAAATTGACGTTTAGGATATGCAGATTTTGCTATTTCCCAATTATTTTGGGATTACCAGATACTCCTAACTGCATTTGAAAACACAAAGGTTAGGGTGCTGTAGGAAAAATTTACTGTGTTCCACAAAAATTGGCCACATAAACCTTTTAAATACATAAATGGTTTAGGTATGGGCTAAATATAGCTAGGTTATTACCCTATAGGCAATTACGGCTAATAAAATAATAAAGAATCAGCCATCAGTTCTTTATGAGCCAGTAGAACGAATAAATTCGTCCTCACTCCTTACCGAGAAGGTCGTATATTTTTATCGAGGATTTGAACAAAAAATACCAATAAACACTGCAAGTATTAATTTTGGAAGAGTAAAAATAATTCAAAGATAAACTATATGTTTGATTATGTTTATTTTATTACGTCAGCTCAGCCGTGATTTTAAAAACATTCGTGCGCTATACTGGCTCGCTTGATTTAAACAAAATTCTTTAGTTAGAATTTGTTTACGTTTTAGTAATGTTGTTTAACGATAAAGTTAAGAATACTTTCGAAAATGAGACATAAACAAAAGAGTCCATTGAACAGAGCATCAGGTACAGTTTAAGCTTAGACTTAAGTTTAATTAAACCATAAGGGGTGTATATTTTGGTGCCAAAGCACTATGTACCTAAAGGTTTAATCTTTAATGGAAACTGCATTATACAAAAAAGGATTGTTATTAAAGAAATTGTCCTACATTAGGATTTTCTCCTGCGTCGTGGGTTATATACATACAAGTTCACAAACACATGCCACCCAGATCCGGAACAACAATTTGTGGAATACACAAAGAGTTGTTCCGTGCAGGAATCACAACAGCGACACGTTGCGTGGCACCCCGATGCCCAGCTCCCGCACCGACCGTCCCGTCAATGTGCCCGTTGTTATAATATTTTAGTCGAACATTAGAAAATAGTTACGGTAATCTTATTTACGGTAACTCTTTAAATAACGTAGTATGAATAAATGTTTAATTATTACCATTTCGACACACCATCCTAGTACTCGAGACAGCTTGAGTTTTTCATCGGTGATGCTTTCTGGTTTCTCCAGCATTTCGTATGATAACATCGTAATTAATCCCCTTGAATGCTTGCCGCCGGACAAATTGTGTTCTAGCACCTGGAATAACAAAAACATAATCATCGTTTATTTACGTTTAGCAAAGTTTACGGCAGTACACTTTTTAAACAAAATCCTGTGGCAAACTCGCTATCCACCGGACATTTTCCCTGTAAACGCTCGCGCAGAGTGGATGCGAATATCGCCTAATGGTGGTTCAAGACTGGCAGTCATGTCACCAAAAGTTTCAAATATGCTGCTTACCAATCTATGGTCGGTCGCAATCTTAGGACATCTTACGAAACTTTAAAAACGTACAGTTAGTAAATCATTACAGATACATGTGAATTTTATGCAAATACCTAATTTTAATGTATACTACGTCTTTGGTCAAGCAGTTGCAAGGGTCACTGACTTCTAAATACAAAGATCCTTAGCATAAAATTTTAAGTAACTAATAGGATACTCTGGAAAAGACCTCAGTGAATGGCAAAAGGCTAATGCACATTCCGTCTATGATAAGATGACTAAGATGTCTAAAAGAGGAGAATGTGAAAAGACGGTATAGCTGCTGACAACGAAAAATTTAGAACTTCGACAGGATTATGAAGAATGACACGATTTGACACGAGGTTTGTCATATGCAGAATTTGTTTTCTTATGGTTTAATTCTTGTAATTACAAAGAACTTAACGGTTTTTTACTGGAAATTCAAAGACGTTGAATCCTTGCCGAAATATCGTAAGAGGTGAAAAGTATAATATAAGAGGTGAAATGCATACTTTTTACCTCACCACAGGTATGTTGCTTAACTGTTCAATCCTTAAGCGGTCACCGGTGACAGCTCTCCACTAACTCCATTATAGACCTTATTTCCGATGGGTAAAGACTACTTTTGTATGAACAAATTTTCGGTACGATATATTAACCTAACCAAAGTACCTACTTACTCTCTGAAAGGTACATTGTCACGCTACAAAATCAAGGTCTAAAGGTTGTGACTTAGTAAGAGTGCCTTCAGCATTGGAGCCTAATTAAGTAGGTACCTTCTTAGGTTTTACATAATTACGCTTAGAACCTTGAAAGAGATTTACACGTGCTAGTGATTAGGTATTCTATCACATTCATATTTCATGGTATAAAAAAGATAAGAATATATTTAAATGGAAATTAATTTCTTTTACAGAATGCATTGATGAAGGCAGATTTTTATAAAAAAAACTCATAACATTGAGCGTTATAAATTATTACCTACTGCTTTATATTTAAAAATTCATTTTGCTATGCAAACTTTTTATTACACACATTTTGGAAATAGTGACTGAATCATCATCATAAATGATCGATTACTGAACAATGATAAAATGTCTCTAGACGTGATATTTACAGTGTATAATATTTGTCTTGAGTTCCGATCTTTCGACATTTGCATGTCTTGAAGTGTCGGAAACGTAAAATAAATATTAAACATGACATATCCTGACTGGTTCTAAAGTAACATAACATAACATCACGCCTTTTATCCTCGAAGGGGTAGGCACATTAGCCACTGTACAATGTAACTCCCACTTTTCACTATTTACAACTTAACTGTCCAAGGAGGAACATACGACTCACGATGAACTTTTGCAATAAGTTCATGACTCATTCATTTTTGGTACAAGTTTGGGGTTTTTGAAATGAGCGTGGCAATAAATTCTAATAAAAACTACGTGGACGTGTAGTAAAATACCTGACCTTTGAAATAACAATGGACGTGGGGTAATTGTAAAGTTTATTGAGGTATAGGGACAGTTAAGTTGTTTATGTTATAAGTCTCATGTAATAGGGGGTGAGCCTATTGCCATATACCGGACACAATTCCAGATTCCGTGCTACTACTGAGAATTTTTTTAAAAACCCAGAGGACTACTGGCTTCGAATACGTTCTCAAGTAATATTAGTAAATAATTCAGTTTAAAAGTTATGAGCCTCTTGCAGAACTGGAAAGGAGAAGAGGGCACTCATTCACATGTATATACCTCTAAGTCTACTTGTTAACAGATCATTGAAAGAATTTAAAGTGGCTCTTAAAAATGCATAACTTTTTTAAAGTTTGCCTCATTGTCTCACACTAAGATTTTCTTTTGTGTCGTGATTGCGTTTACAGAAATGTAATATATTCAAATTACCTACACACAGATTCACGGATCCTTAAGCCCATACATAACGGCGATGGCGACCTCTCGCGTCCGGGCCTAGTGCAGGCCATGATGCGGAGCGAGGGGGAATGGGATACCGTCTCCTCCTTTTGCGAAGCGAACATGCTAGCTAAGGAGGAGGCGGGACGCGTGAGGCAGCGAAGTGCTGCCTCCTCGCAACCCAGCCATCGCGAAGGACACACCGGGCGTAGGGGATCGCGGGACGATCTCCGGCCACCGTAAGCGCGGCCCTGCGGACGGCGAGCATGGGTGGCTCCCCGTCCAACCAGAAACAGACCCGAGCGTACGGCGCGTCGCGTTCCGCGCGCGCCTCAAAGAGCCATCAGACCACCACAGATGGGGAACAATAAGGCCGATGCCGATTCGGAGTCGCGGAGAACCTAACGGGTAACCGGGGCTCCGGCTCGACGTGCAGGAGAAGGAACGGGGTGGTTTTTAGTCAGTTAGTCTGACACTCCCTCCCGCCTCACCCAGGCGGGAGCAGTCATTCGATGATTTTCCCCCTTAAAAAAAAAGCAATTTTATTCCCAGAAGAGATAGACAGAGGTAGAATATTTAATGTCACATCAACTTTTCATCAGTGAAATGCTATTTAGGGAGAATAAAGTTCCCTAAGATCGGAAAAGGAGGATCCAGGATCCAGGAACCAGGCGAGGTGATCGTGTTATTCGTTGGGATTTTCTATCCATGTTAATTCGCATGTAAACTTCACATGGAATGTAGGATTTTGTGACGTCATCCGTTGATTTGTTTTCACCGATAGTGTATGTACACCACAGCCATATCAGACACATGTCAAATAAATGTCCCTGCCTGTCACTAATAACTCTGAGAATTTCAATTAGGGAATCATATCCGGTATATCTTATTTTGCAGTCGAATTTGCAACAACTAATTTAACAAGAGAGTTACGATCACAGTGGAAAGACCAATAAGGTTACGAACAAGTACAGTAAGTACTTGACCTTTTGCTTTTGTAGGCAGTAACCAATTATGCAGGTTTATTGTAAAGAGTGTTGGTGCACAAGGCCAAAGGAATCAACAACTGTTTATTTTTCTACATATCTTATACAACTTATTTAGAAAAAATCATACCCAAATGTATGTTCAAGGAAAATTATTGGACAACAATTTGAATTAAATTCCAACAAAAGGAGAACTAGTTATTTAGCCATATCACACAGTTTATAAGTTTACCTACTTAATTATTATTTTTTTCGGCTTGCTCACATAATTATTTGACGAGTAACTTCACTAGTACTAAGCCATGCTTTTTTTTAAGGGAGAAAAATAATGGAATGATTGCTCCCGTCTGGGTGAGGCGGGAGGGAGTGTCAGACTCTTACTGACAAAAAACCACCCCGTTCCTTCTCCTGCACGTCGAGCCGAAGGCCCGGTTACCCGTTAGGTTCTCCGCGACAAAGCCATGCTTGAGGCTCATATTCATTAGCAGCATTCTGCGACTGTTGTTAAAAGTTGATAGTGCGTTAATTTTTATTGTGAATTAACTCTGCCTCATCAACAGCCCCACATTTTTATTAACTAGGAAGACTGGAATACCGAATTTTTTAACTCTATGTTTGTGTTAATGTTACTATTATTTAACTGCATAAAAGTAATCAAAACATACCTGCTTAACCCAGCCAGCCACTTCAGGCTGTTGAGATATCTTAGTGCTAGCCTGCAAGTTCTCAATGATACCAGGCAGTACGTCATGGAACACCTCCTTCTCCTTCATGATTTGAGATATAGACACACCCGTTTGCATAGTTCTCGTGGCCGACAGTTGTAAGAAACTGAAAAAAAATTACAAAAATACTATAAATATATTCAAAAGTCTTATGATGTTGCACAATTGCAGAGCTAGTGTAAGTGGGTCACGAAAATGTTATTTTTAACTTTTTTAATCCTATTGCCAGTACTTGCCGGTGATTACTGACCTCTATACTAATAGCGGCATATTAGTGTCACATGTAAACTTTCTCTAAAGTAATTAAATATCAATTATTATGAGCATAAGATTTGAATTTCAATGTCTCTTAATTTTTTGGCTTGATTGAAGTTAGGGGCTTAGTTTCGAAATATTTTAATTATGGAAAATTCAATAATTAGCTAAGTAGGTATATTTCATAATTCCTATTAGTTTTGGATGAAAGATTTCTATTCATTTTATTAGGCAAATCATAATGTAGTAGAAAATATCCAGTAATGGACATACTGGATGGAAGAAACTGGATGAAAGAGGATTTATGTTCTGCTGCATAGTTTTTTTGAAATGTATGTCACTGTCATTTTTAGGGCACAGTCATTGATGATAAAGAACTGCTGATTAATGTTGGACAAAGTGCATTTTGTTAAGGTGATATCTAATTTTGTGTACACTCCTGATGCCCAACCACTTGAGTGATATGATAAAATTATGATAGGTTAACAGAACTGAGTTTTTGGAAATAATAAACATATTCATTAGCAAGTAGGTACAGTGAGTGTGACTAATAACTTTAACTTTTACCGTTATTAATGTGTTACGAAGATTTGACTGCTCGTTGACCATAACGTCTTGAATATTGTAAAAAGTATAAAAGATTTCAAAGTATCCAGTTTTAATTTATATACTTTGGTTTACTTACCACGGATGTTTGTCGTAGCCGGCCCATACTGATCGTGTTCTACTCAATAAACGAAGGAATTTTATGTTATTCATCTTTTAAGTAAATAATTTCTAAGTGCCCACTTTCTCTGACCGAATTCCGAAGGAAAATCAACCTGGCAAATATGCCTTGCTACACAGTACAGCACAACTTGAATATTCACATAAATTCAAATAATGTTTGTGTTATTATATCGTTTCAAAAGGCTTATTTATTAAAATGAAACTAAAATAACCGCACACATTATTTATAAAACTCTCTGACGGCCGCAACGTCCTCCAAAGTAAGCGAGATTTTGACACTGACAATTTTACGAGTGACAGTCCATGACAGTCCCAGTGATCCAAGCTGTCACCTTTTTGACACTGACTTTAGTGACGTCAATGACAGCAGCTTTTTTAGAATTTGTTCACTTATCAACTCATGGTCTTTTGAGTTAACCTATTATAAAAATAAAACAAAAATTATGTAAAATATAGTTTTATTTATTTAAACATGTTTCGAACCCAAATAGTAACATTTAAAACAGCTATCCAAATTGTCAATGTTTTCTGCCATATGTGTCATGTAAAACTTTAAGAAATAATTCTTGTTGAGCATTTGAGGATACGGATTTAATCCTCTGGATTATGTTGTTATAGATTTCATTTTCTTCTTCTTTATACAATTGAGGAATTTTGAGCTGGACATAAAGCTGCTTAATACGCTCTACGTGTGCTGGTTCTTGGCTTCCATAACAAGCAGAAAAAACAGTGCGCTGATTGGGTTTGCAATGCTGCAACGCTTTAACAGCCAACCATGAACATTTACCTTCCTGAATATCAGAACCTAACTTCCCGGTAATTTTTTCGTCTCCGAAACAATCAATGTAGTCGTCTTGCATTTGAAAAAGTCTTCCTAACTGCATCGATATTTCATCAGCATCCTTGTGAGTTTTCTCGTTGAACTGGTTAGCTAGCATTAATCCAGCTGTTATTGGCAGTTTGTAGGTGTAATATGCAGATTTGTACTTAACTATAGCATTGTACTGATCCATCGTGAATAGATCGTAATTCTTCTTTTTCATTCCTGTCATGATGTCTAAATATTGGCCAAGGCATGTGTAAAAGAGCGTCTGAAACATAAGACAGTTGAATTATACTTAGGTAGGTACCAGAAGTCTGTTACCTATTAGCGTTGCAAATGTGTATATAGGTTAGTAAGTTGACTGTATTAAAACGCCTAGATTCTGCTGCACAACAGTCCCGGGGACTTTCTACTTGAATCTAAGCTACAAAATTTTACCACCTAGTATGTTTTTAAAATCAATACTAACCTCGTTAAAGTTATGGTAGAGATCGTTGTAGTAAGGAGACTTCTCAAAGTTGACTCTTAGCAAATGCAGCATGCTGTGGTGGATGAGTGTAGCATCGTTGACTGCATGAGAAATGCCCACGTCTGCCCTTCGATACCAACAAGGCTTGCCGCGTCGAGTAACGGACCCATCAGCTATGTCATCCAACACTAGGCAGTATGCTTGTAACTGTGTAAATATTAATATTAGCTCAGTTGCTTTAGTTACTTACTTGGGTATTTAGCAAACTGCTTATTTATAAGAGAAAAGTATCGTAAACAATGCTATACAGTGTTAATGAACTATCCACATAATTACATTTTATCGAAGCTTTAGTAAGCAAATGGGTATTTGTTGCGTGTCGAAAATGCTCACCATGTATCGCCCTATTGCTTGGGGTTCTTAAAATGAGCGATGAAAATAGGTGCCCAATTTTAGGCCTACATAGGTATTGACCTTTGTAGGTCTATGGCCACACCTGTGCCTATATCTTCAGGTAAAACAACGCGATCTTACGTATATTTTATGCTCTTGTCTCTGTTTAGGACTTTGAAACTATTACATTGACTTACAATTTCAGTACACCACCCTAACGTCCTCGCTAATCTTAATGTCTCCTCCGTTATATTTTCAGGCTTCTCAATAAACTTGTACGTCATTACCGTTGTCAGTCCTCTCATGTTTTTACCACCAATTAAATTTCCATTTAAAACCTGGAAATAAATAATTAATTTTGAATTTAATCCTAGAACATAACATGTGACGTAGTTTCAGTGGTCTGACTGTCTCAGATCACGAATCAAAACATCAGATATTTTAGTAAAACATAATATTTGCAATTCACATAGTTACAAATTTAAAATTCGTGATTTAAGTAACAATCTTATATAATGAATTGCGCGGGTGTGTCAACCGCTAATTATTCCGTTTACTGAAAAATGTAAAGAACCGAAGAAATTATCACTTTATAATAAAAGATTTCCAAGATGTTTTTGTTAGTAACACGAAGCAGGTATATCCTTTGCTAATGGGGTGTGTCTGTTTACGGTATGTATTAACATATAGCTAATATATAATAACAAGATCGAAGTCGGTTCTATTATTATTATAAAAATTACGTCATTCCATTGATGTGGACAAATATGTAAAGAATCCGTGTCATTGGCACCGTATCAGAAGAACTTAATTTTCTCGAAACATCAATAAAATATTTAGGTACACTTACATTTCTCATCCATTTCTCAGTACCGGGTATTTCTTGAAATTTTTCATGTTTCGAAAAGAGATCAATGACTCCTGGCAGAGCGTTAAGGAACTCAGCTTTTTCTGCCTTTAAATCAAACTTTTTTGTAGTAGGAGAAGCAGTTCCACAGAACCGTTGGAAGGTACTGAAATAAAGATAAGAGACAATGTAGGATTGTAGGTACCTGTTATAGGCAGCGCCTGACCAATTTAAAACTCATTGTTTTTCCACAGACGCAGAGCAATGTTTAAATGATCTCGAGCTAAGACCATAATGGCAGGAACAGAATATAATGGCTGTTAACATAGCAATCGTCTTTGAAAATGTACCTATTAAAACTAAATAGGTAAATGAGTTGTATGTAAGGTTTTTCTTATTCGCAACGTGCGGCGCTTAGCCATTGGCTTATTTCGCCAGGTGAAGATATTTAATGATAAAGACTGGCATTAGGTAATAAATTTTAAAATCATACCTTTCTACCCAACTTCTAGTCATCACAGCCCCAATGTTCTTCATCATTAAACTGGAAGCGACCATTTTTCCAGGAATGTTCATCAATAAAGTGTTTCACCAGCAAACTCAACGGGGATCGTCACAGGAATACTTCAAAATGACAACCAGACCATTTTATAATAGGCGGATGTAACATTTTATCTGATTGCTCCTAGTATTGTTGTTTAGAAATGACTGAAGGAAAAAGAAACAACTCCTTTTCTTATTGTAATACGTTTTTGCATAATAATGTAGGAACGTAATTCATCTCGTGTCGCTTCTAGTTGAACTGTTGTCAATTATTATGGTTGTTGTAAAAAAAGATTTGTTTGAATATCTTTACAAAGTTTTTTATGCATTTTGCTTGCAACATGTCTACCTAGAGGTATATTGATGGGTAGAGGATAGAGGCTTCCTCGTAGGTTAAGTGGTGTTTTCTATTAGATACCGCTTGTCGTGCAAGATATTGCAGGGTATTGTGATTTTTGAGATCAAATTCTTATAATGCCGATTATATCACACCTGATAAACAGTGGGTGATATATTTCTTGTGGACCTTTTGTTTGTCAGCAGTTTGAGTCATGAGATAGATTCTAAGAGAGAAGTATGTTTGCAACAATGAACGAAAGTGTTATTGTCTATTGTCTAGAATCTAGATCATATCATTTCTTAATTTGAAACTGAGTAAAAGTCACGAGAAATTTAAGGAAGGAGTATGTCGGTACTAAGTAAGGTCATGCCCATAATGCGACCATTAAGATTTGTTTTTATTTGCAGAAAGTGATAGGGAAGTACTTATAATTAATTCTCTTTCAATTAATCATTATTTTATTAATCTTAGGATTATGTTTAGTACGACTAAATATAGCAGCTAAATATAAATAACTGCATCGACCTTGTATCGGACTATGCGATAATAAAAAGAATTTTCCGGTAAAATGGGTCTGCTTATCGCTTAGATATTGACTTTCTCATAATGCTCATTGCTAGCGGTAAATCAAACTTAAACGTAAACATTCATTGAATTCATTTTAGGTTGCAGTTTTATTTTTATTATTTATTGCATTTCCGTAATATATACTCTAGTTCAGTACCTATGTAGTTCTTGTTCTAGACATGTCTTATTTTCGGGGAGTTCTCTTCCCCAAATCTGCTTTCTATCTTTCAATGGCATAATTAAACAGTTTCCTACACGGTTCGCAACTTCAAGGGTGGTGTTGCAAATGTACTTAGGGCTACGATGTCCACTTAGGTACCATCTACCAATGCAATGGAGATTGGAGGACCATGGATTCTACCAATTTCAGACTCCTCAATCATTGTTTGGAGAAGGATATTGGGTATGCCAGGGTAAAATAAAAGTTCATCAAATTGTAGGTAATCAACATTTTAATATCATCATCGAGAGAAATACATGCTTAATTAGGCGTTCAGCTACAAATATTATCTATGTAATCATTATAGGCGTAAAAAGGTAAGACGGAGAAAAATGTAAATCAAAGCATTCACTTTTTTTTTAAGTACTACAGCTAATACTATAACTACTAGGCTGTAGACAGTTTAGTACTAATCGTATTAATTTGTAGCATACTATATCTAAGAAAACAAGATCATTATATTATTATTATTTAAGTTTAGAGTTACGAACTCCTAATCCTTAATCAACTATTATCCTCCACTTCTCCCGATGGTCTTTCCTCATCTCGACCACAGACTTGTGGGGCCTTATTACTGACAAATTTAAACTCACAGCTTTTAATAAAAAATCTAAACACAGTGCATTCACACCCAGCGCTCATGCATAAAATGACGACACTCCAGATAACTTTATTCTTCGCTGAGCGCGTCTATTTTATCGAGGACTTCAGTATACCTTATACAAATATACATCTACTAGGCTTTTGCACCTTTCTAAGTCACTAACTTAACCGATATGTCTATAGCTACACTGTTTAAACGCTTCGCCTGAAGATGTTATCTAAGATTTTAAAGAATAGTTCGTGGGGCAAGCCCCTGGTGACTTGTTGGATTTGTGTCCTAAGGAGATCGTAGGTAGCTTCTTCAAAGACTGAGTAGGTGTGTGGAAGTTGAAGCTCCTCATACAATTGCTTGATCTTAGCAACTGCTTCTGGGTCGGAGCTGCCGTAGTTTTCTTCCATAAATTGCCTCTGTTTTGGTGTTGCCCTTTGCAAAGCAACGACTGCTAACCAGGTACATTTGCCATCT